GTCCATGGAGAACTCATAAATGTCCTCAGGTGGTGGGCCAGGCCCTGTCCTTGGTCTGGGCATGGTTGCTGTCCTGCCGTATGTCTGTTCTGTACACTAATTAGGGAGACTGCAAACCATGGATAGTTTAAAGTTCAAAAAGTAGTAGAGTATAAAATCAACACCAGCTAAAATAGAAAAATGTCATATGAATAATCAGCTGGTCTTTAGTCTTGAGGACAGTTTAGCAGAAAGATAACTTGTCTTGGATCAATCTTTGCTGTGTTGTTTGTCTATCTCGGATAAACCAGCTGGAGATCTCCTCAACTCTGTGGGTGTTGCCAAAAAAGTTTGTTTAATGTTCATCTTGTCTCAAGAGACAATGCGACTTTACTATATCGTGTTCTTTGTCATCCGGGTGGCACTGGAGAATCCGGGTGGTAACTTCCAGTCTGTCCATCTATCCCAACTATCCTGAGGGATGGTTGGCTGCCCACCACTTTTTGGAGAGCATAACCGGAGCCTGGAGGTTCATGGCACTGTCTACTCAGCTTGGGTACTGTCTGGAAGTGCACAGAAAAAAAGAGGGAAAGGACAAAATAGTTTTACATTCAAATGAAAAAAGCATCTGTACCCATTTCTTTCCGTGGCTTACAGTGGCAACTCTGAAAGTCGTTCATTAGATGTGATTAAATGATGTTAGATGAGTTGCCCTACATTACAGTTCAGTCTGACATCCCTGACTGCTGTCTGGGTATCGTCTGGTTTCTAAAAACAGCTGTCGGGGCTGTGCATCGAGTTGGCTGAAGCCACACAGGCCCATGTGAGCAGTTTGAGGAGATATTGTGTTTTAATGGCAGACCCCACATGGACAGGGGGGCTTATGTCTCCCTGAATGAAAGAAGAGGGGGGTGATAAGTAGATGCCAGGGATGGTCCTCTTTGTCTTGCAGTCGCACGCTCCAGTCAACCGTCAGTAAAGTGAATTGTGCCGAGAAAAGCCAGAGTTTCTTTGCCACTGCCTAGTCTCACAGCCTGCACTGAACATGGTTTTTAAAAATTCTTCACAGTTTTAAGTGGACTTTACATAAGTGAAGAGCAAAAGTCTTTTAGGCTACTTCAATTTAAACTATCCAATGGATTAAAGTCCCTCTTGCGTTATTAATATCACCGTAATACTTGTCTCTGAGTATCAAAGTTACATATATAGAAGTTTTCTCTATTTTTCCATGAAAATAATCACTTCCTGCTTTACCATTACTAGATATAACTCTATACCTTTGCTGTGCGGATCTATGACGTTTCTGCCTCTGCCTCCACTTATCCCTCCTGACTCGCTGCACCTCGAGCACACCAGCTCACCTGTGATTCTGCTCACGCTCAGTAAAACTTCTCTACACCACCCAATGGCAAGTTTTACTATTGTGGTAGTTTAGTCATACATGTTTAAACTGGCAACTGTTTCTGAAGAAGAATAATGATATAAAAAGTGTCATCCTACAAGGTGACAGGATGGATTTGTTGAAATGCTCAGCTGAGGGGTTGAGTGTGTATTTCAAGTATGATTTCCTTCCAGCTGTTTGCACTGTACCAAAAAAAGATACAATAGCACTCAAAAACAAATTATTTACCATATATGGGAAAGTTACAAACTAATTACTCCATTTTAACATGTATACCAAAACTGAGTAATTTACAGCAGCCAAAATATAAACTTTTATCTTGTGTGCAGCTTTGCTAGCATGCTCACCTTAGCTAGAGACGGCACTGGTTGCTAGTTTTTTTTTTAGCTAATAATGTAGCTAATGCTAAGTGGAATTTAAAGTTAAGTTATAAAAAATAACATTTTAGTTTGTGATCAAAACTCAACCAATGGGGCTCCGAGTGGCTCCTAGTTGAACCTATTTGGTGAAACGTTTTTAAACAAGCTACGAAACCTATCGACGTTTTTGCAAAATTGATTTTAACGCTGAAGTTAGCGTAACAGCGGCCTTTAAGTAAATGTAGCCACATTTTAATGACACAGTGGCAGCTAATTAATGTCAATATAGCAGCAGAGTTCAAGTTAAGACAGTTTAAGGTTAAATGTGTGATTAGCTGCGTAATAACGCAGAAAAACGCGAAGCGGACAAGTGAGATATTTAACGACAGTAATGCCACCGTGCAGCCGCAGCAGCTTTATGCCTGATAATGGTTTCACACCTGGTTGACTCAGCATGTTTGTGGCTCTTCAGTCACCTTACTGTCAGTCCATAATGAGCCCCCCTCCGCTGCTGTTGTTTCTGGTACTGTATGTCCACGTGCTGCCCGGCGGGGAGCCCGGCCCGCAGCACTGATCAAAGCCATCAGATAAACTAACAGCCATCCTCAGATGTACGTTAGGATAAGGCTGCTATCAGGGCGGCATAAACACAGCAGGTACAGAGCTGTGAGAGAGGACACGCAGCTAATTGCCGTGGGTGACAAAAACGGCACTTTCCCCGCGCCTGAATACACATTTTAATTTATATCCACGTGACCGCGTCAGTGTGTTGCGGCGGTCCAAACCTGCGGTCCGCGAGTGTTTTACAAGTCACATGGTCCCCAAATAGTCCTCCTTTAATTTAGCAAAACCATTCTTCGTGTCAGCAATAAATACCACATATTTATGTACATAATTCTGTTAGCAACTAATGTCGCTTTGAAACTTTTCTTATTCACAGTGTTGCACATAAACAGCATGCAAACAGTTTAAAAAAATAAAAATCAACTTACCACTACTGCAGCCACGTTCCTCCTCACGGCAGCCTTTTAAACGTTTGCAAAATATCGATAAAATTTTGCAAAAGTACAAATTTGCAAAAGTTTTTCCTTGTGAGTTGCAAGAAATAAAAATTTTAAAAAAAAGGCCGGAATTTATTTTTATTTTTTTCAACCCACTTAAAAAAAAAAAAAACTTGTGCAACAAGAGGAGAGGATAAAGTTGGAGCCTTATGACATAACGCTGACTTAACCCTGCTCTGTCTGGCCGGCGCTGGGACACAGAGGGGAAAAGGTGGCGCAGTTTTGGAGGGGTTAAAGCCGTCAGTAAACCGTGGAGTGGAGTGGAGTCCTGCTGCTGGAGCAACGGGACGGGGCTGACGTCACACCGCGTGGCTCCCAGGAGCACCCTGGGGTGGGCAGAGGTGAGGGCACCACGAGGTGATCTGAAATGGACCCCTGTGATAGCTTAGTGAGCCTCTGAGTGGGGTTTTTCCGACTGGAAAAGAAAAAGTAGGTTGCAAACAGGTGATGCAACCAGAGGGGTTTAAACCAGATGTTGTGACGTCATGACGGGGATGAGGAGCTTTAAAAAAAAAAAGTTTGAAGTCCTCACCGATGGACTCCTCTGGTTGGAGGAGGAGGAGCAGCAGCGGCCCCTGGCTGGCAGAGCCTACACACAAATGAGAGTTTATGTTACTGTCAACAGAAGCCTTGGCTGCAGCACAGGAGTTATGCAGTTTAAATAAAGAGATTGTTCAAATCCACTTTGAAAAAATTAGACCTGCATACACAACATAGTGGAGAACTAACACAACCCTGACAAAAACAGAGAAAACTCCAAAAAACTACATTTGTGACCAATCTAAGGCAAGAAAGCGATCCCTTAAAACTGCACATACAGTCGTCCTTAAATGTATTCATACTCTTCCATTAAAGAAAAGGCAAAAATCACAATAGTCACTCAAATAACGAGAAACTGAAAAAGGTAATAGTGAATAAAAATTTACTAAATTATAATTTAGTGAAATAAGACATTGCTTTTAAATTGTGGTTGAAACGAACGAAAGAAAGAAAAAACAAAAAAAACTGTCCCAGACAAGTCAGAGCACTTTGCTGATGAGCAGTGGGTCAAAATCTAAAAACCTGTCAACAGGTGCAGAAGTCTGACTGAGAGTTACAGAAAACACTTGACTGCCTCAAAGAGTTGTTCAACAAAATACTAGTTAGCAGGTCCCATCATGCTTGTTTGCTTGTTTTTTGTTTGTTTGTTTTATTATTTCTGTTGAACCACAGTTCAAAAGCAATGTCATGATGTTCAGTACATTTTTATTTATTACTTTTGTCAATTTCAACTTATTAATTATAAATGAATTACAATTAATAATTATTTCAGTGACAGCTGTTTTTTTCCTTCTTTAATGGGAGGGTATGAATACATTTGAGGACTGTAACTATCTATAAGTATGACTTTACAGTATCATTTTATACTTGTCTAATGCTGTGTAAAAAGTTATTCTGTGACTTCTCAGATGAGGGTTCTGAACTGTGTCTCTACAGTTAAGCTCATAACTATTTACTGAGATTCTAAAAGGAAAAGCATCAGGCAGTCTGCACAGAAGCTTGGTCATGGGCAGCACTGGACCTCCCAACAAGACAAGACAATGATCCCAGACATACAGTCCAAACCTGAGTCCCATCTATAATGTGTGGAGTGCTGGCAAGGACAGCCACAAAGACCTGAGATCATTCCAAAACAGCAGTGTTGTAAAATTCTGAGTGCAAAAGCTTTTTGGTCATTCTATAAACTTTTTGATTGCTGTGGTGGTTAACAAAGGCGTTGCTACTAAGTACTGATATGAATATCCATGAACAATATTTGTTCAGACTGACCTTTAACATGTAAAACACAACGTTTCACCATCTTCTGCTACTCGTTTTGTTGTTTCAGGCCAGAGGAATCTCTTAGTCAAATAAAAATTCCATGAAAATCAAAATTTGGCATGGGCATTGTTAATCTGGGGCTTAACTGTGCCTGTAAGAGTTGTTCCAGTTATGATAAAGCATCTGATTAGACATGAAGTACAAATCAATTAAATAACAACAGGCTCAAAGCACAAACTGGTCTGTGGTCCAAACACTGCAAAATAAAATCAGATGAAATTTCACCATGAGTGTTGCTATTTAAACGTTTAGAACTGAAACTCATAGAAGTAGTCATTTCCAAAGAACCCCATGACTTGGAACACAATATAATACACACATAATAACTAGTGTCATCACTCACTTATAACACATTGAATCTTTATTTTTTTCACCATTGTACACTCCATTGGAGGCCGTTTAACAAACACAAACAAAATGTTGTAAACACAAAACGCAAACTTTCAACATTTCCTCTGAGGTACCTTGCCGTTACACCTTAATACATAGTTTCATATCATCTTTTTTTTTTATTTTCCAGCCGTTAACGCCTCAATATCCTTATAGCAACCATGAAGCTCGATGCCAACTGTTAAAGAGCAGAGTTTGATGGTGGGCTGATTTCAGCAGAGACCCAGAGGCATGAATGCATCACTTCATCATCCTGCATCGGTTTATCCAGAGCAGCTCAGTTGCCATGACGACATTCTTAATCTTACGTTTACATGATGTATGCAAATCGATACTAAAAATGCACATTATAAAGTTTCTCTCACTGTGGGGGCTGTGGTGCCCTGAGAAAACCTTTCTGGATAATTTGGATCATAGTGTTTCAGAATCAACAGTCTCATAATATGGTTAAAGAGCAAGCTACGGTAAAGTTAAAGCTTTTGTAATCAACACAATGATTCTTTTTGTTTAATAAATAATAATTAAAGTTGAATAAAACAGGCAAACATGTTTCTGAATTTCTTCCAGCCTACCTTAATGGTAACAAATTGTTCAAAGAGCTTCAATCTCTCTACATCCATCTGACTTGCAAGAATAGAAATGTTAGTACCAGCAGATGTAAAAGTGCGTGATTGAGGACGGGTCCAGTGTCACATTCTCGTATGTCAGCGTGCTGACTCCAGTGTTGCAGACAAAATCATCAAATTACTTCACCGCGGAGAAGAAGAGCACAAGAACAGAACAAAGAGGAGAGCAAACAGAGAGCAGATGAAACAGGGCGCTGGAAAAGGAATTAGAAAAACTAGACAGGAGGATAAAAAATGCAATAAATTTCCACTTGCTGTAACAATGTGCATCCTTTGGAGCACAGATAATCACTGTAGGAGCTTCTTCTGTATCACTAGGGAGCAAATTTAGTTAGCGTAAGATTAATGTGCAACCACGCTGTTGTTTTATCTTCTAGAGGTCCGTTAACATGACAGAACACTAAACTTCTGTCACACATGGTATCACTATTTATTATCAGAGAAGCTCTGTTGGCGGAATGTCCAACTGTCTGATCCAGTAACCCACAACTCTCTCCATAGACAATCAAATACTGTGTGGAAAGGTGAAGGACAGGTGACTCTGAATCAGACTGCTTGAAATGTATGTTTAACTCGATAGAGCCTGAATTGACACAGACTTGTACACAGTCCTAATGTAAAAGCTTGGTCTTGGTTTGATTAAAATTATAAATGAAAATGCTGCTAAAAGTGAAAATGAGGAGAAATGCTCAGACAGAGATGGAAATGTATTAGGACACTTAGTTCAAACTCTTCAGACTCAGTCAGAGCTTTAACCAGTTGACAACAGAGGTTTCATTTCTATGTGCAATGGCCCACTCTTAGCTGCTACAAGGAGCCTCCAATTCATGTAGGTATACCGTCATAGGTAAATGCATATACACAGGGAATGTACCAACTCCCCTTCCCCCATCACATCTCCCCTCAGTCTCGTGGTGGTTTGGTCCGGCGTTCAGAGAGCAGTAGTCTTTATGTCCGGACCTGGAACTTGCCAGCCTTGGTCATGTACTTGATTCCTTTGAAAGGTTTATACTTCTCGCCGTACATGTCCAGTCGATTCACCTTCAGGCCTGTTGAAGGACACAAATATTAGTAATTCATCAATACCTAAATTTGTGTTATTGGACAAGAACAAACGCCATCATCTGGGGTGAACGTTGGGGGATGATGTGTGGCTCAGAGCCAGGATTTTCATTAGTTTATTAAAGTTCAAGATACATACATACCTAGACAGAGATGTAAACATTAGGTTCTTTACGACCTAGCCTAATCCACTGTGAGTTAAGTATTAATATTACATCTGAGTGACTGTAGAAAACATCAGATGCTCTTGGTGGGCAGCACAGTGGTGCAACGGTTAGCACTTTTGCCTCACAGCAGGAAGGCCCTGGGTTCAGATCTGCTGGTCAGCTGAGGTCTTTCTGTGTGTAGTTTGCGTGGGTTTTCTCCTGGTGGTCCTGCTTCTTCCCACAGGCCAAAGACAAGCATGGTAGCATAATTGGTGATTCTAAACCGGCAGCAGATGAGTGTGAGTGTGTACAGTTGTCTGTCCAGGATGTACTCAGGGTTTTACCCAGTGTCAGCTGTTGTTAAAGACTTTCCGCTGACTCACTTTAACCTTCTGGATGAACAAATATTGGGACAATTGTACTTTTATTTCCTGTTTCCCTACTTCCACGTCTTTTGTCTAATCCAGATAAAAGATGGCAGCCAGTAATGACATTTGCTCGTACTTTATTTGTACAAAAGTTAAGCAACCGCAACTAATTTACTTATTCAAGGATACAAAAGTCATATCATAGTACCTGAATTTAAAAAGAAATTGGCAAGTTTACAAGCTTAATTGGAATATTTTACCATCTACATGAAGTGTGATTACTTTCATTCTTAGAATATTCGCATGCTGAGAATACATGTTACCTAAATAACTCGACTCTATAGACAAAGATTGTCAATAAAGCATGTCATATAATAATATCTTTAAATATCTTAGGTCAACAATCCAAAAGTAGTAAGTAGCCGTAAGTATCAAAATTCAACACTGATTTTTAAAAATGTGTTTCCTGATGTCATGTGAAGGAGGCGTATGAATTGCATTTGGCACCATCTAGTGGCCACAATGTCGCTGTTCTTCAACAATGGGAACATCAGGTGGTTGTCAGCTGAGCGGCTACGTGATGAAAGCTGCTTGAATGTCTGGGGGTTGAGATCAAATGTGGAAGTGAAAATAATAAAGATGAATCCAACCTAACTTAAGAGCTTTGTTGTTGTGCAGGACAGAGTATAATAATATATATGACGATAAATTTACGTTTATAATAAAGTATTTGTACAAGAAATTAAGGAATTCCTGGAAGGACTTAGTCATAAGTGTGACAACAATGAGTGAAATGAACTGGATGGAGTGTCAGTGTTCCAGACTGATTTTTTCACTAGCAGCACGAGTGAAACCAGTTTCCTCAGTTGTTTCAACACATGATTTTGTTGTACCCCCCTCAGGCGGGTGTGTGACTAAAAATTATTTTAAAAGGAGTGAAATAATGGGTTCTAATCTGATAGATTTACCCAAACTAAAACAGAGTGATTTTGTCTACATGGGCTGTTTTCTATATGTGCAGGTTTCTAAGCGTGGTGCTCAATTTTGTTAATCTAATTGTGGGACAAAATCATTACTGTGATTAATATACATTTAATTTTGCAGTCCTAATGCTGCATTAGCAACTGTGGTTGAATGTAGGGCTTTTTCTTCATCAGGTGTATCTGAGTCAGGACATCTCCCTCTCCACCAGCCTCCTCCTCTCTCTCCTCATTTTATGTTTTTAAAATAATCGACTGTAGATTGCTTCATCACTGGAGTAATCAAAAACTAAATGGATTGTTTCATGTGTTCGGGAATTCCAGACTCACTATACCAGTGAGGAAGAAAAACTTTGACTTACCACTACTGTGGCTAACACAGCTGCTCCCCACACAGACCAGAGAGGCAACATATCAGGATAATAACTGTTGTACACTTGTAGACACGAATGTGCCCATGTGAAATTTTACCTCCCACACTCTCAAAAAATGGTTGCACATGAGTGCGTTTGTACCTGAGATGGCCATCTGCTGGATCTTGAACTGGATGTTGATGGTGGGATTCTCATCAGGTTTGGAGGCTCCGGCCTGCAGGCTCATTGTACCTTTCAGACTAGGAAGCTTCTGTGGGTTGATCTTGCCAACATCCCATGTCAACAACTTGCAAAAAACAAACATCAAGATATGAATTATCGACCACATAGAAAAAAGGTCACACCAGGTCCTCAAGATAATTGGTATAAATTAAAATCATTTAAGGCTCAGACAAAACTAATTATTTTACATTCTGATGTTAATGTACAGCTTCCTTTTCCCTTCTTTTAGGCACTTAAATGCACTCAGACAAAACATGAAAGTACCTTTGTGACTGGGTCAAAGGTGTATGTTCCCTGGGAGGGGTTGAGGTTGGCATTGAGGACGCCCCGGGGCAACTGGCTGCTGACCAGGACCGACTCCACAGCTTTGCCCATGGTCTGTTTGGGGCCCAGTGTCAAGTCAAAGCGTCCCTGGGAACTTCCCTCCCGAAAAGTGATGTTGTGCTTGACGTACACCGGAATAGCAACCAGGCTAGAGAAGAAACAACCAACACACATCAGGAGTCAGTCATACAAGTCAGTAGAGTCATGTTTGATAATGGTCCTGTTGTACTCTAATGCTGGTAGACTGCTCATGAGAAAGTCCTTCAGACAGAACACATACAGCTGGCAAAACACATGGACAGGTCATGTGTTTGGACAAAAGATCATCCCCACAGATTTAACTGAACTCATGTGATCACATGTTTAGTCATGCATATGGTTGTCAGTTAGACTCGGGGTTAATCTCTGCATCATGTTTTTGCTCTGATTTTAATCTGGACGTTCTGGCCAGAAGTGGTGATTGGTATCTCTGCCACTTTGCCACTTCTCTCAGGCTATTGGTCTGCTACCTTCTGCTACCAGCTATTCATCTGCCATGCTGTGTTTTGAGTACAAAATAAGTGGCACCTCTAAGATGCATCATGTATCCAATACGCATGTCATTCAGCTGCCACTCCAGTGAGTCTCTTGTTCTACTGACAGACTCAAACTCCACCGTCTTCGGCTGCAGCTGGTGACAGTAGTCAGATATCTCATCACAAGTAGACTTTATGATGTCATTGGATAGGCAGCTGAACGACACTGAAGACAGTCACAAATGCAGCCTGATCAGTTTGCAGATACGAAAACATGAGACTGGAGGGGTTTGTGCCAGCTGGTTAACAGCCTTTAAACTTAAAAATTTAATTTTCATACAACACCCTTGATGACATAATCTGTATGATTCCTCTAAAAAGCCCATCATATGTCAAATTTAGATCATCTACAATGTCAGACCATTTGATGGACCACCTCATATGTGTCTTTGTCATACTGTGACAGGAATAGATCCTAAATCAAAACACACTAACTTCTGAGAGCTGACATGGTAGGAGAGCAGCCGGAAGTTTCCATCAGGTGGGATGAAAGAGAGGATTCGCTCAGCTTCCCAGCGCTTGAACCGAACACACGGGTGGAAACTGACGTCATCCAGCAGCCGAGGATTCTGGGAGTGAGGACGATTGGGAGGTGAGTAAAACAACATGTGCATAAAATACAGAAAAGTTAATTCCACTGCTTCTCTGTATTTCAAGTTGTTCAAATAATTTCTACTTCTGTGCTACGTCAAACTCTTTCCAAAGCATTTTGACTAACATAATAATAATTACTTAGAGTACTTCTCCCAGCAATACATTAGACACTCTAAATATGACTTGTAATAATTGACTAATTTATAAATGCTCTATGTGAATGTGTGAGTGTAGTTCCACTGAATACACAAACACTTTAACTGCATTAACTGAAAAGGCAGAAAAAATAGAAGAAACGTACCATAAAAGAGAGAGTGAGGTCAGGCATGCCTGTCAGCTTCACACAGGCATCAATAACTCCCTGAATTTCTGCTGTAATAGTGGACCCTGAAGGGGAAGGAAAAGAAATTGACAGAGAGAAAAAAAAACATACAAACTAACAGTAAAGCTGCTTTTGAAGGCAGATGCTAATAATTGTTGCATAGAGCTGCTGATGGCTGATAGTTTGTACTGTTTTAAATTGACCATTTTCTTGACAAAATTGACAACAGTGGTCAAATTTTACTGCTTCCTCCAAACAGCGACATGTTTCACAAGCAGTGTGTACCACATGTACCATCGCAATACCTGATTTATCAATGATAGCATCAATCTCCTCCACCACGTCAAAATAGGCTTCATTGTTGGTGTATTTGACTCCGGTGCGTCGCCATGGCACCACTGACAGCTGGCCTGTGGGAAGCTGTTCACCCACATTGGTGCTGCCTGGAATACAGACAGTAACCAAATGTTGAATGGCAAGAACATGTACACAGAGCCCATTTACACAGAAATCAGCAGCTGTAACATTTAATGCCATAGCTCACACCTATGGTTGACGCTGGTTCTGTACAGTGTTGTTTGGTGCATTTGTGACAAAAGCTCTCATATTAGTATGTTGTCTGGATTTCAATGAACACATTACATGTCAGCAAACGTTTTTATGTTGAATGACCAATGTTTTAACATCCAGTTAAGGTGATCCATTATGGCTAAAAACGCAAATGTCCATTGTAGTGATAATGTTCAGTTAACTAACAGAATGTACCGTAATTCTTCTCAAGTTTTTCTTATTAGAAATGCTTTGGTGTTTGCATGATGTTCTAGGAACCGAACGTTCTAAACCAATAAGACCAGTAAGTGTCTAATTCAGACTACACTGGACACTTTTACTGAGTGCAGTTGTTAAAATGGCAAGCACTGACCTGTGATGGTGTTGACCATAGTGCGGAGGATGGTGGGAGGCTTAATAAGCTCTTTGAGGATGTTGGACTCTGTGGCCAAGGGGAACCCGTTGTCCAGCATCTCCTCCAGCAGTTCGTAGACAACTACCACATTGTCTTTGATTGCCGCTTCTGTACACACTCCAAAATAATCCTGAGAACAAAGAACACAGGCAGGATGTGAGTATAAGTCAAACATAGGTCATTTGAACTAAACTAAAATTAAACAGAAAAATATGTTGAAGCACAACCTGGAACGTGTCGACGACTCTGTGCAGAAACTCGATGACAAAGAGCGGTGGCACCTCACTCTGGATGACCGCTACGAAGTAGATGCGATGCCTGAGCACACTGATAAGGTAGTGATGCGGTGTGGGGATCACTGGAGGGACGTTCTCAGGTTCGGTGGCGCGCTCCTGAGCCTCGAAGAAGTAATCGCACACTGAGCGGCTGACCACGCTTTTCCAGTGCTTCTCTAGGAAAATATCCCCTGAGGCATTGACTAGGAACAGGCTGTGGATCATTTTGGCTGGAGGCTGTGGAGCAAATGATAAAAAAGAAAACCAGATGAGAAAAGCTTGAGAAGAACATACTGGACATTCTGTTAATTTGAAGAACATCATCACTAAAGCTCAGGTGTTAGTAATAACTTTAGCCGTGGCTCTGTTCCATTGAAGCATCTCAGTGAACCATGAATGTGACAGGGACGCAGCATGTACAATAACAAGACCCTGAAACCAAGCCGCAACCTCTGGGGCTGAAAAATAAAGCCGGCAGTTCCTCCAATGTCCACTTAAGGCTGGCACCAAAAGCAAGTCAATGGCTATAGACCTGCATGTTAAAATGCTCAACTTTATAGTAGAAAGACATATTCACCTTTTGGTTCTCAATAGCTAAACTTCCTGTTCATGAATAATGTACAAGGGTGAATTTCTGTGTAGGTCTCCTGTTGACATTCTATTAAGGGTTAAAACGTATGGATAACTAAGGGGTGTGGCTGCTTTGATAGACAGGTTGGCACAGTCACGAAACAGTTCATGGCCCAGATTTACATTGTTGCCTCGCAGCAAGAAGGTCGCCAGTTCGCATCCCGGTGAGGACACCCGGGATCTTTCTGTGTGGAACCCTCGGTTCTCCGGCTTCCTCCCACACAGTCTAAAAACATGTTGAGGTTAACTGGCTTGGTTGTCTGTCTCTAAGTGTAGCCCTGTGATAGACTGGTGACCTGTCCAGGTCCCCTGCCTTCGCCCTAAATCAGCTGGGATAGACTCCAGCCCCCGCCACCCTAGTGAGGGTTAAGCGGTGTATAGATAATGAATGGATGGAGACTGTAGTGGACTCTTGTGTATGTGAAAAGTGAAACACTTCCCTTAGGAAGCTGCCAAGATGGTGACAGCCAAAGCCACTACACTGACAATTGAAACTGATCAGGAAACTAATAGATGACATTACGAAGGGTTCATTCATCTTTGTTTATGCCTTTTTTTGGCCGAAAATTCATCAATAATTCATTTTTATTATTAACACAGTTGTTCCTAAAGTTACATTTTTCCGCATTTACTGTACCGTTCTTATCCAGTTATTTAGTCCTATCAGAGAGATAAACTCAGCTCAGTCTGTATTTTATCTCTATAGTCCCACTATTGTAAAGGCAGCCCTTCCTCTCCTCACGTGACACACACACACAGTGGATAAAAGCATGTTTTATGCTCCAGATGGCACTGGTCATACAGTGTGCTTACTTTGGCAGCAGAGAATGAGATTGTGTGCTCAATGTGTGTCCAATCTAACTACACACTTGCCTTTAATGTGCTGAATAGCCGAGTTTGTGAAGCTCCTATTTCCCACATGCACTTTCATAAAATAATAATAATAATAAAAAAAACTGCACTCAACATTCATTACTTTATATGATTCATTTGTAAAACTCATTAGATGTACAAACTTATTCGCAGCAGCACATGAATGAGTCACGTGAACTTCACTTCAAAGTGACATTAAATTCGTCTTTTTTTCAATTGAGTCTGGTGTACTCAGAATTCCTGGTTACTTGATGCAGTAAGTCACGATTAAGTCTTCCTTACACCGGTGGCTGGGGAATATGACACCGGAATATTCATTAAATATGCGGCAAAGCTATCGAGTTCGGACCGGCTTTAAGCGAGAGCCACATTAACCTAAACTAATTACAGCGACGCATAAATATTAGCACGATACAACATTTCAGAGACGAACTAGCCAGCTGTGTGTAGAGCAGCTGAAGGCCTCCATCTCCACACAAGATGCTACATCCGTCCCTCCTCCTGCCTCAGTCTCATGACAGAGGAAAAGCTCCGCCACCCGCTACCACAGATGGAAAAACGCTGAAATAACGATGCTGCTCAGCCTGAAAACTCACCACAAGCCACTCGAACCATTCACAAGCTACACCTGACTTACCGAAGACAATTTTTAGTCGTTTTCGTCTCGCCTTTCCCCTTTTCTCTCAATGAAAGATTAAGCAGCCGTCGTTGCTTCCCGTTAGGTGGAGCTGCAGATCATGAAGCAAGAGAGAGGATAGAAACGGGCCAATCAGAGGCCGAGGAGGCCGTGAAGTCCCGCCCACCTAATAGAGTCATAGGTCAATAATACGGAAGTTGGTGACTCGTGACTTGGCTGTGATTGGCCTATGGCGGGGGAGCCACAGTAAACACCAGTACAGCTGTTCGCTGATTGGCCTGAGGATGTACCTGGTCTGACATTTTGTTTCCAGTATCAGATTTCATCTTGTGGTGTTTCTCAGTTCAAACAAACAGAGGGACATGTTCAGCAGGCGGAACACAGCAGAGTTCAGGGCTTAAACTGCTATTGTCTGTTTTGGCTGCAAACAATTCAGTATACTTTATTTTATATTTATATTATATTGTATTTTTATTTATTAAACAAAAAACACACAAACAAATGTATATGCATATAATACCACAAAACAAGGTGAAATAGTAAAGGTAAATATGGAAACTGCACTTTGCAACAATCCCTAAAACTCAACTCATACATATCACTCCCGTTGTTCAAAAAATCAGTTAGAGCAACACTTCAGGGTTATTGCACCTGTTTTTAGCCTCTCTATTTTACAAGTCGTTGTGTAATTTGTTTTGTAATATTGTGTGAGTTTCTGTACATGAAATCTGTTTTTGCTGTCTATCTCGTTTGTACGCCACCTCTTGACAGGTCGTTATTGAAAATGAGAACCAGTTCTCAATTAATTTCCCTGGTAAAATAAAGGTTAAATAAATAAATAAAAGCATCATGCTGTCAGCAAGTGGCTACTCCTGCTGGAGAAGTGAGAAACACCTGAGGACATTAGAGTCACACTTGTGTGGACATAATAACATATATATAAAAAAAACACTAACAGCACATATTCTCCTTATTATAACCTCAATATACTGTATTTTGCATGTAACTACTAGGAAACTATCACTGTCATGTGTTTTAACTCTGTTCAGATGATCAACAGATCAAATATATATCAACACAACTCCATTTGATATTTAAAGGGCAGAGTATCTGTGACTGACTCTGATGCTGAAAGTGCTATCTGCTGACACTCATCAGCACAGGCCGACCTCATGTTGATTACAAAAACTCTAGCTTGTATTTCTTGACATCAATATTCCCTCCAGGTTGTAGCATAGAAGCCCATATTATCAGTTTTTAACCCTTTCATGCATAACTACTTAAAAAAAAAAAAAAAAAAAAAACTGTATGCAAATGTTTTAAAAGGTTTGGTTTTTTTTATTGCTACCAAACAATACCTAAAACATGTCCAGTTTTCTTTTAATATTTACTATTTTGAGCAAAATGCACAATTGTCAACTGTAGTGTAAAAAATACTATTCTTTGTACAATAAAATCTCATAATCGGTTACACAACTATAAACCTGTCTGTTTTATTACCTTTGTGTCAGAAAATATTATTAAAACATTTGTTGACCAGTTTAAGAGGTCAGATCACAAGATAACTTCAACTAAACTGTAGACTTACATCATCAAATGAATTCGTTAGATATTTGCATATACTTTCAAGCATGTGTGTCTTTCCTCCAAAATCCTTCTTTAAGGAGGCACCATATACATGTTATCTGTTCCTTAGCTTTTAAAAGGGGATATTTTTTGAAAGCCAAGAATTTCAAAAAAAGATAGAGCACACAGTTTGGAAAGAGTTTAATTTACAGTAAATTATCAGAATTCTGAATTGGATTAAAAGGGGGAAAATACTACTTTGACTTGGTTAGAATAATAGAAGTAAAGATTTTGAGTTAAATGAAGTCTTAAATTGAGAAATTGAGTTAAATAGTATAAGATCTAATGACATATTCGTTCTAAAAATTGCGATTTTTTTCAACATTTTTAAAAAATACATTGTTTTTGTGGCACAAAGGTTCTGGTCACTCATTTCTGTGTATCAAAGTTAAATATTTAGAGGTTTTTCTGTTAAAAGACATGCACATAGGCTCAAAGTGAAATCCGATTCTGAAGAATAATGACACAGAAAGCCTGATCATGCACATCATAAGGTTTGATTCTTTAGGCTTCTTACACACACACACAAAAAAAAACTGTGGAATTCAGAATCCATGTTTTTGAGACTGTGATCAGCACACTGCAGTGATAGGGTAGAAATGCTCAGCTGTGATGTTTACTGGTTATTTCATTAATAATGAGTCTTCCATCATATAAATACACCTTGCGGACATGTTAGCAAGGTGAAAAAGTTTATTCTCACTACAGCATGTCTTTAAATGCATCTACCAGTCAACATTTCTCTCTTTCAAATCTCCATTCTGCATCATTTCTGTGCTGGAAAAAGATCGGGGGTAAATGCGGACACACAGGGATGTGATGAAGCTGATGAAGCAAGTCCTGCCTCCTCTGCAGCATCCGGTTCTGCAGGACACTGCTGTTAGCAAGGACAAGCGAACAAATGTGGCATCGTGCTCACGCTCACATTATGCATGTAATGTAGTGAATCTAATCTTTGAATAAATGAGGGCAGACACCTGCTGAGGACAGTTTAGGGATCTGTTCTTTTCAGCAGGAGTTATTAAATGAGAAGTCATTATTTCAAATGACCGTCTGCTACTGTAAGTCAGTGCCTACAGGAGTGATGGCTCTTTTTAATGTTTCGACCAGTGCTGTCAGAAGTATGGAGACATTTGATTACTTCATTACAAGTAAAGTCTTGTATTCAAAATGCTACCTATACTCATTATTGGTTCCACTGAAAGTTGTATGTTACACACATATTGTTGGATTCTTACTTCTGTTGTATAAACATGTAAGCAGCAATTCAACATTTAAAGATGGAGCTACATTTTGCTGATTTATTAAACTGTTAAATAGTTTAATCTGCATGTAACATGTTTAAAAAGTGACCATAGGTTCTGTATATAAAGATCTGAAAAGCCAGTAGCTAAATAAATGATCACTTTGATAAATAAATAAATCTCGTGGAGTAAAATACAGTGTTTCAGTCTAAAATCTACAGCAGAAGTACTCAAGTTCACTTCATCAATAAAACTTGATACATATTCTCAGGTACATTGAGTTGTGTTGGATGTTTACCTGCTGTCTGCCATCAGACACTGAGCATCACACAGGTCTGACAAATGGGACTCCATCTGTTTACAGACATCTGACGCTGATGTTAGAAGTTGGTTGCAGATGTGAGTGAGGAGATAACTGATTCTACAGTGACCTCTAGTGCTCACAAGTGGCTAATGTGGATCTATATGTGATTGGTACTGAACTTGGCAAGATGCATTAAATCAATGCTTGCTAACTCTGGGATGAAAACGATCAATTAAATAATAACGCCAGAGCTTAGCAGCATTTAAGCAACAATGTGACAACAATTGCGGGGCTTGTTGTTCGCATGTGTTACCAGTCACTGTCAGATAAATGTGACAAAAGAAAATTATCCTCATTATAAGGATGTATTTGCAGGTTTGCACCAAAGGGGTCAATAAAGTTCTTTTCTATTCTTCTAGTTCTATTCTATTTTGCACACTCTAATTGTTGCTTATTTAAACATGAGTTTTAATATTATGAACATCGCTTCTATTGACTCCCTCTGTACATGGCAGTGTCATTATGACGGATCAGTGTTTCCTATTTATCCATAACTAATATGATTCTTACAGCTGGATTAGGACACATGGAGCCGAGATGAAACACGTTTAAAAGACAGAGGACCTGTCATAGCTGATATTAAACTTCAGTAGGGACAATTTGCGAACAGTTTTGTGATTTTATGAACGATGATGTGTAATAAACAATCACTGTTGACTATCCCCGGTTGGTTGTCGAGGGGTAGCTACCAAGAAAACCTGAAAACTAAGCTTGAAGTGGTGTTTATACAAATGGAAATAAATGGAATAAGGTTCTCGTTGTTTTGATCATTCACATAGCGAGAATGATCTCAGCGCTGGGGAATGGTCCACACCAAACATTGTCATTCTTCTTTCAGGGAAAAAAGTTCAGGCTTGTTTGTATTTCAGTAAACCAGTCACAGTTGTCTTGGGCGGCACTAGACTCAGAATGCAGCAGCAGTGCCCCTGCAAAATTTGTGATTTGTTTTGGTGAAACACGCATGGAAAAGGAATCTTTTTTCCATAAACAGTGGGCAAACATGTAAGAACATCTCTGCTAGACATCAGATGTTGTAAACATGTTCTTTGTGATTCATTACAATCATTTAGAGAAACAACCAGGCAGGCCGGTCTTACTGCACCATCCAAAACTCGCCATTTTCAGCGTGTAGGTTGCTGCTCGGAGGTTGTTTTCCACAGCGAAGGGCGATTTTGAAAACACTAACACAGACATCGCAATGGGGTTGAGAACGCTGCATGGCTCCGATGGCGGGCTCATAGCCACAGTCCACTGGCAAAAATATGTAAAGTTGTGAAAATGTGTTGCGTTAATGATGTGCAAAATTCATTCATGAACTTAAGAATGAAAAATCCAAAATTTGAAATAAGAATTCACTATTAATAATATACATATTTATAAAATTCTGTATAAAAATCTGGAAGGAGCAGCTTTAGGTGATGTCTTCTTCAATTTAAAACTGAATCAGGTTAAACTCAAGGGAAACATGAATGGCTCAACATAATTTATTTTCATTTTATGTTAAAATGTACAGAGTTCTTTGAAAGTACTTGCTAAGAAAGAAAAAAAAAAAACAAATAAATGGAAATACATACAGGGACAGAGTAGAGAGTTGAGGCGGCTGAGCGCAAATCAACCTTCACTGTGTGCCCGGCTGTCACCCCCTCTCTTTATTTTGCGCTCTCTCTTAGCATACAACGCAACATGTACAATTACAAAGGATACAAAAAGGGAAGCAATATAAACAGACAGAAATATACTGAGCTCATTTTTACATGCCTCTTAAATGTAAGGAAGTCATCCTATACACACACAAGAAGTAAAAAAAAAAGAAAAGAATGCCAAGTGACCTTTAGATATTTGTAGTCCTTTTGTTTAAAATAGC